GGTCCAGACCGTGCGGTCCCGGTGCTCCCGGAGACCCACCTGTCGGGTGTGGACAGGTACTTCTGCTTCTCGAAGCGCTTCTCCAGGCCCATCAGCTGCAGCTCGGTGAACACGGTCCGACTCCGGCGGCCCTTCTTGGTCCGGCCTCCGCCGTCCGCTCCGGCCTCCAGCTTCCCGCGCAGCTGCAGCTCCAGCGGCAAGTGGCGGCCCGCGGGCCCGACCTGCAGCCCCGGAGCGGCGGACAGGAGCGGGGAGGCCAGCGGGCAGGACAGGGGGGGCAGGGGGAACTTCAGCAGGCCCTGCTCCGCTTTGACCACTGCAGGGAGACGGGACAGGAGATTTTACTGACAGAGATAATAATAATAATAATAATAATAATATGTCAGTGTGTGCAACATGTTTGAGTTCTGGTTTTGGTTCTGGTCTAATGAGGACTGAAGTCCTCTCTGAATACAGTGAGTGTGTGAACATTATATTTGTTAAGTAAATCAGTTGTTCTCACAGTGTTAGTGACTCAGATCAGCAGCAGCTCACACTCTGACAGGCTGAAGATGAAATAAAACTTTAAATGCATTGTTGATTTTTTGAAAACGAAAAACCTTCAATATTTAGTGGATCGACGGGACAAAAAATAAAATAAAATTATTCCAAATCAAAAACTGTGCAGTTCTCATAAATACCTGATTTAACTGGAAATATTAAATTATAAACTACGATAAAGGAAATAAATATGTATCAAACTATTTCCATAATGTGTGGTGTGTGAGTGCCACAGTTCAAACTATTTACATATATTACATATAACTACATTTGATTTTAATCAATAAAGCAACAATAATATTTGAGTGGAGATTGTTTCTTTATTTATATTTACGATAATGTTTTCATCATAGGCGTAATTTGCAGAGGGGTTGGTGGGATTTTGACCCCCAAAATAATTTGATCTAGTTGATATACCCCCCCTCCCCCCTAATAAAACATCATTTTGCTGTAACAATAAAAATTAACTGGTTAAATACACAGCTGCAGCGCTAGTTGTTTTTAGTTAACTTTGACCTGATTTCAAATTTTACACTGTCACATAATAAATGTGGTGTGTGCACATTTAAGCAGAATTGTTGAAAATAACACGCAGGGTTTTTAGTCTGCCTTTTGTCACATTATGGCTAGATTGTGTTGTATTGTTTTCCTGGACAAATTGCAGTGCACCAGATAAATACATACTTAAATACATACTTTTGAAAATTTTAGAATGAAGGTATGTCATATAACACATCCTAAAAATGTCAAATATTTGTTACTTATGGGGAAAAAAAGAGGGTTAGCCTTTTCTCAATTGTTGAACTGACGTGAAACAGAAAAGGTGCAGAGTAAATACAAAAAAAAAAAAAACCCTGGAAAGTTAAGTAAATCAAAGCAAAAGCCTTAAATTTGATTTTATTTCCTAAATATCTTGAATGGTTTTACAAAAGTAAACAACTCAATAAATAAATGGAGACCATAACCCCCCTAATGGTACACCTAAAGTTACATCCTTGGTTTTCATCGAAGTCCGGTTTAATAAAGCTGGACTCAGATAAACTCAGAGTTCTTTCTGTCTCAGAACTGAGCTGAAGACAAACTGTGTGAATCAGAGCGTCACGACAACAAAACTCAGCTTCATCTTTTCTTTAAGTTTCTCTCAGAAAGATCAGGAAAAGAGTTAAAATAAACTTTCCTACAAGAACCTGACCTGATCCAGAAAGTCTTAAAGAAGAAAAATATAACTTATTCAAAATAAATCATG